CTGGTGGGGCTGGACGGGGTGCTTCCTGGAGGAGGTGGTGCTTTATCTTCTCTCCTGTCATTGGTGACTGCATGAGGCTTGCCTATCTGGTTGTCCCCTGTGTTCCAGGGCCTCGTACAGTGCCTGGGATGTGGTAGCACTCAATAAACATTTTTTGAACAAATTAATGAAGTTGACCCTGAAGTCAGTAGCATTTTGAGAAGTAGAGAGGAAGAAGAGACAATTGCAGGGAGGTCCCATGAGGGGGTTAGGAGACTGAGGTCAGCATGGCTGTGGGAGAAGCTCATGACTGGAAGGCAGGGGAGATGTGAGGGATCCAATCTGCAAGGCTCTTGAACAAGAGCCTACAGCCTGGGGGAGCCACAGGAAGGTTTGGAGCAAGACACATGCATACACAGTGGTCAAGGTGGCCCAGCCAGTGATTGCCCAGACTGGGGAGATACGCAGACCCTGTGCAACATGCCCTCCTTTCACACCCACCATGCTCACTACCTGATTGGAAAGTAGAAGTGGGAGCCGGGAAGGTGTTGGATGGATAGAGGCAGCATTGCTGGGCAGACTGTGAGAGGTGAGGAAGGGTGTGCAAAAGGCGGGGAGGAGTGTAGCCTTCCCGCTGGAAGGGTGGGAGACTGGCTTTGTGCAGGGAGGAAAGACGGGGTATCATGGGTTGTGGTTCGAGGTGCCATGCTGACCTCTATCTGGAAGGCCCTTCTTTCGAAATGGCCAAATAATGAAAGCTGAGGGCTTTGGTAACAGCAGGAGAGGGAAGGGGCTTGCTAAACGAGCAGAGGTTGGGCAGAATGACCCAGGTGTACTTTCTGGTTGGGCTGATGGCATTCTGGGATGTTTCCCCATCGTGGGGACATCTTCCTACCCCATGACACTCCTGAGCTGACTTCTCCAGTGGGCAGGCCCAGGGGAACATTAAATGATGGCTTCTAGAGTGGAGGGAGGGGGGATGATGGGGTGAGAGCTGGCCCTTGCAAACACGCCCCCTCGGGTGGGCCGCTCTGCACCCAGGCTGAGCTTTCAGACAGGTTGTGAGGTGCTCTTTTGGAGGCTTGCTTGCTTCCTTGCCTTGCCTGCCCCTGTGTCTTTCCCTGATGCAATCTCCAACTGGACTTTCAAAATTGGTGATTTTTCCTCATTGGCCACAGCCCCAGACTGTCACACTGGAATTTGCAAGTCATTCACAGATGCTGCAGAAGGGAACTGTCCCTGGGGCTCAAGCTGGGAGTCACACCGAGTGCCCCTTCTCCTCCGGCTCCCTTCTCACCGGCCCCCGTGCTGAACGGGGCAGGCCCCGGCCTCGCTGCACCTTGACTTCCCCTTTCGGAGGTGGCGATTACTCCCAGGGCTCAGGCCCTCCCTGGGGATGAGAAGTCCAGAAGGTTCTGGGAGTTCTTCACAGGGAAGCCTTTTGGAGAGCCCGGTGAACTATTATCTCTGGCAAGAGTAACAGAATTCAGACTTTAATTTGACTTTTAAAACGTGCCAGATGCATTACCAGCTTCTGGGCTACTTACTGGGCTTAATGAAAACTAGAAAGTCTAGAGAGCCCTTTGCTAGGAAAGAAAATTATGTATGTATGTTTTAGAGTCTCAAATCTTCTCTTTTGGAGTTGAACTTCTGGGAAAAAAAAAAATCTAACATTTGTGGTTTTGAAAGGAATTCCACAGCAGTGAAGTAAGGAGGGAAGTTATGTGTTTATATGTGTGTTTTCCTACACAGAGGTCTCTGAGCAGCCTGTGTAAGCTCGTTAACTAGCAGTGAGCCCTGAATGTACACCACAGAGGGTTTCCCCGCCAGCCCTCCGCCTGAGAACTGGAGCAGCTGCGAGGCAGCCCTCCCTCACGTCCGCCCTGGCCTAACTCACGTCTCCTCCGGGTGGCGTGCAGGGTGGACTTCAGATGTGCAGCCCCTGAGGGGACCACCCAGAAGGCTGAGCCCCAGGCCCTGCCCCAAGTGGACCAACTTCATACCAGGCAGTGGAGAGGGTGTGGGCCAGAGGGCAAGGATCCCCTAGACCTGTGGTTGTGAGCCTGGAGCGTGGACTGGGAGTTGGAACTCGGTTTTTGACCCTTGTTTATCTACTTATTGGCTGCGTGAACCTGGAGTTCAAAACCTTGCTGTTTTCTCATTTCCCTCCTATAATAAGGATGTATACACCCTGAGCCTTCTCGTGGGTCATAATGGGAATTGAGCAAGAGAATGGCCCTAGGGTTCTGTGCACGAGGCCTGAGTGCAATGAGTTGGTTGGTGCTGGGTAGATGAGGGCCCTTGCCATCACTCTTACTCAGACAAGGAACAGGGCCTGCGCTTGGGGCGAGGGCAGAAGCCTGGCGAGATCCACGGAAGGGAGAGATTATTTTGTTGAATGAACGAATGGGAAGGAGTTGGCTCCACGGAGGCAGAAGAGGAGGAACAACGAATGTAAAGTCAATCCTGACTGCTCCCCTGAGGCTCTGAAGGGAGCAGGGCTCTCTGGTCCTTTCCTCCACCACACAGGTGCTCAAATAGACACACACTCCACACATGCAGAGGCCTACACGCTGCACACACAACCCTGGTACATACCATCAGGCACACAGACACACACAGCAAGGCGCACACTCACGTATCTAGATGCACAGACACACAGACACACACACCACCGTGCACAGACACATGCATGCACACACACGCACACAGTTGGTGAAAGAACAAGGACAATAACACCTGGTTCTATGCTTTCCCTTCTCCAAGCCCCTTGTCCCTCCTCCTTGAGCCTTCCTGGCCTCCCCACCAGTCATGCTTCCACTGAGGGGAGGCCATCCTGCATGAAGACAGGGGTCCAGGGTCTGCTGTGCTCCCTCTGCCGGGCCTTCCTCCTCCTGTGGCAGCCTGGGTGCTGACGTCCACATTTTGCCTGTCCCCTTAGCAAGCCCGCATTGCTGCCCCGTGGCAGGTGGGGAGGTGGTGGCAGTGGGGGTGGGGAAGGACCTGTGAATTTAGTAAAGTTGTCCCAGCCTATCTGCACTGAGAAGCCACAGGGCTGATCCCACAGCAGTAACTGTCCTCTGGGCATTACGCATTACTGGGATGCCAGTCTGGCCTCCTGAGGTGGGAAGATGAGGGAGGGGGCTGACCCACAGGCAGTTTAGGACTTATCCCCTTTCTTGGCATGTCCCTGTCCACGTGTCTTGGTGGCACAGGTCCTGTGGCCTGAATGGTGTCTGTAAAGGATCCAGGATCCAAGCTGGCAAACGTAATCTTGCCCCTGGCAGCTTTCCTTCCTCTGCATGGAAAGCAGCCAGCCAGGGCCAAATGCCCTCACTCAGCCCCACTTTCCACTGCCTTGCAGGGCTGGGGAAGCTGAGCCTGGCTTTACACCCAGAAGCCAGTGGTGAGGAGACATGGATCCCTGGGCACCCAAATAATGGTCCTGTTCAACCCCATGGCTCATTTGCATCCTGGCTGGACAGGGGCTCGGGAACTTTGGTCTCCATGTTTCTCCCTGCCAGCACCCTTGCCCAGCCAGCTCCCCATCTCTACCCCAGCTCAGAGAGCTACTCACACTGCATTCCATCTTCCTGGGGAAATAATTAGAGTAAACCAATTTCCTCAACTGGAAAACAGGGGTGACAAGAGCTAGGCACTTCTCATTCTATTGTTTGAGAATTAAGTGAGAGAATGTACAGAAAACACTTATTGCCAGATTTGCATGGTAGCTGTTACATTATATTACAGTTACCTGAGCATAGATTTGGGGCCAGGTCAGTGAGAGGGCCAGAGCAGAGGTGCAAGCAGTCATGATGGGCTGTGGGGCCCCTTGCTAAGTAATTTGGGCATTACTACACAGGTAAAAGTAGTCAGTCAAGGGACAAGATTACTCTGTGCTTTAGAAAGAGCTCTCTGGTGACTGTCCTGTAGCGGGTGGATGGAGAGGGAGATGGGGGCAGGGGCCCAGGGAGCCTTGCAGGAGCTGGTGGTGACCCCACAGGGCAGGGGCGGAAGGAGGAGGGGCTACAAGTGAGAGATTCAGGAGGGGCTCCCTCAGTGCTGGAGGCAGCGTGGGTGAGCCTCGGAAAATCACAAAGGTATTACTATCACTCTGGGCTAGCGCCCCAGTCCTCTCATCTGGCTTGGCCTCTTGAGGCCCCCTGTCCTCCTACCAAGTCCCTGGGACTGGGGTGTAGGCATGGGGCAGGGCCATGGCCACTTGGTGTCAGGGAATTGGGGAGCAAAGCCCACTCCCCCAGCCCCTTCCTCCTGTTGGGGTCCTACCTCTCCCTCAGTCCCACAGAAAGATGGGGGGACAGTGTGGAGGGGGCTTTACAAGAGCATCAATTCAGAATCTGCCAAAGAAAAGCTGCCGGGGGCAGGATTATGTCTGCCTACTTGGACCCTAGATCCTTTACAGCCTCCGTTCAGGTCACAGGACCCGTGGCACCAAGACACGTGGATGGGGCATTCGGAATCTTTCCCTGCCACAGCCAAAGGATTGTGTCCATCCCTCCCTCCCTCCCTCCCCACTAGGCAGCCCTGGCTCCCCGCACACACCTCCTCCCCTCGCTTCTCCTCTCCAACCCCACCCCTCCTTTCCTGAGATTTTCTCACTCAGGGTGTGAGATCTTTAGTGTATAAGCTGGATATCTGAGGTTCATTTGCCTGAAACTTCAGTTTTACTGAAAGATTAATGGGAATGCACACACACACACACACACACACACACGCACGCATGCTTTGGAATAAAATGCAAAATCCAAGTTATTTTTAGTAAAGGACATTAAATTTTTAAAAAAGATTCATTCTTCTGCTCTTATTTCGAGCTCCTGCAGGAGGAGGATGCTGACTTCTGCTCTTCTGGCCTTTTGCAGGACGTGGGAGGAGCTGCTGGGGTCCCCCACGTCTCCTTTGGCTCCTTGGCCTCTGCAGGCTGGCAGTGTCTGGTCTTCAGTCACCTCTCCGTGGCCAGACCAGAAAGTAACCCCTGTTCTTCCCTGCGTCGTCCTTCCCAGAACCTGAACATCCAGGTGGAGGACATCCGGGTCCGAGCCATCCTCTCTGCCTACCGCAAGCGCGCCCCCGTGACGGAGGGCTACGTGGAGGTGAAGGACGGCAAGACCTGGAAGCAGATCTGTGACAAGCACTGGACAGCCAAGAACTCCCGCGTGGTCTGTGGCATGTTCGGCTTCCCTGGGGAGAAGACGTATAACACCAAAGTGTACAAGTAAGCGAGCTGCACGCGGCGTGCGGCCTCCTGGGCCCTTGCCTGCCTCATTAAAGGGTTGGTGGGAGGCCCCCTGGGCAGAGGCAAGGCCCACCTGCTGCCAGGTGTGGCCGTGTCCCGTCAGCAAGTTAGCCATCACCAACAGGCCTTACCGCTGAGGGCCTTGGGCTCCTGGGGCAGACAGACCCCAAGGGAGGGTCAGGGTGGAGTGAGGGAAGGCGGTGGCCGCAGTGAGGCGCAGCTGCCGGCCCCCGGAAGCCCACCCCTCCCAGCCGACAGCCAGCTCGGGGACCTGTGGGCTGAACAAGGACACACTGGGCCGGGCAAGGGTAACACCAGCCTAAGGAGACTTCTCCTCAGCAAATGGGTGTTGTGAGAAACCAGGGACCTGCAGCAACTGTTAGGAAATTGAGAAACTGATCAATGCGAGTCAGTTCCAGCAGCCCCTGTGAACCCTTATAATGCTGTTATGGCTTCCAAAGTGTCTCCCAGGAGGACAGGAGTAGATAATAACAAGAGAATAATTTTCCCCAAAAGGTGTCTAGTGAAGAGATCTTGGCCCCCTGACGCTCTGGTCATGAGGGTCCGTTGGGTGGGAGTGGGGTCTTAGTAATGGTAAAAACCCTCTGGTTATAATGTGCCAGTCTCTGTTCTTAGTCATCGACTCCTCACATGCTGGGAAGTAGGGGTCTATTTCAGAGTTGAGGAAATGAAGTCAGAGGGCAGTGTGAGGACGAGAAAGTGGCAGATTAGGATCCAGCGAGTCTCCAGCTACAGGGTAAGCCGGGGAGAGAGGTGGCTTCAAAGTCAGGAGACAGGGCTTCTGGCTGCAGCCCCGCCTGCAGATGCCGGCCCAGGGCAGGCTGCGTCCCTCCCTGGGCATGGCCTGGCCACCTTTGCTCAGAGCCCCATCCACCCCGGGTGAGTGCTGGCAGCAGAGCTGCCCAGGGGTGGGCTGACGCCACCCTGGGGGGGATCGGAGTGGTGTTCCCCACTCTGGCCCCCGAGACATGGCCCAGACCTTCCTGTGTGCACAGGCCCAGGTGGGGCATGCAGGGCTGTCTCTGTCTTGTGAATACTTTGGAGAACCCCTGCCAGCTGGCCAGCTCCTGCCCTGGAGACACTCGCCCAGGCAGCCAGAGCCAAGGAGAGCACATCCCCTCCCTGGACAGGCTGCCTACCCGGCTGGCCCCACCAGAGCCCCCAGTCTGACCTGGGGCAGGTGTGAGCACAGTCCTGGGATAAGAAGGCTGCCACCCATCCTGTGCAGCACAGGATGGGGTACCTGAGGCCAGGTAGCATGTGACATGCTCAGATGGCATTTGAAAGCCATCTTCCCAGCTACAGACACCCAGAGTCCTTCTCCTACTTTTGAGGTGAGATCTCAGACATTTGGGCAGCTGGGCCCCAGACCCTCCTTGGTTCTGGGCTTGAAGCCTGCCCCCTGCCCTCCCACTGCTGTGACTGTGGCTTTGAGTTTTCAGATGGGGGCAGGAAAATGCTTTGAAGTGTGGGGACGTTGAAGCTGGTGGTGGTAGGTGGTGTTCTCAGCTGACATGGGAGATTATGAGCAGACGCCTCTGGAAACTGGCTCCTCCTTGCTGGCGATGGTTTGAAGGGGCTGGAGGGCAAGTATGGAACCTTCTCGGCTTGTCTCTGAGTTTTTACGAGTCTCTGGGTTCAGCTGAGAGCTGGGCCCCAAAAGGGAGAGACGCTCTGGGCAGAGCTTCTGTGCCTGCACGGGGACTCCCAGGCCGTGGGTGGCCTCAGCGATCACCCTCCTAAGCTTTCAGTCTGCGTGGGGGAGACCTAGGCCTGAGGGTAGTGGACTCAGGGGTCATAGCCCGCTCCTGCCAGTACCCGTAGGTGTGCCCAGGTCTGCCCCAGGGAGAGCTCTCCCCACTGCCTCCTGCCCTTCAGACCTGCTCCAGCTCTGCCCGCCCTGGAGGCTAACATCACAGGCCCTATTGCAGGGCCTGCTGTTAAGTCTGGAGCTGGGGCTGGGCTGGCCTGGGGACAGGGTATCTGTGAGCCCGCGTCAGTGGTTGAAGGCCCCAGAGGGCTTGGAGCCAAACGAGGGCCACACCCTGCGTGGTCCCTGGATTGGGAGGCCTCCAGGAGCACCTTCCCTTCTCCCTCTCACCCTGCCTAAGCCTGTCCCTGCTGTTGCTGACATCATACCCACGAGGCAAGGGAAGCGGCCTCCCAGGGAGGCCCTTCACTCTAGGAAGGAAACTGTTCTCAAAGTAATTCTCTCTGGGGTGGGGTTAGTAATCTCCAAGCATCCACCAGACGCCGAAGCAGCTTTGCAGCCTCGGAAATTCACCTGGGAGGCACCCGAGGCCTCCCCACCCTGGCTCCCTCTGCCAACCTCTGGTGGCCACGCAGGCCTGAGATACCTCCAAGGACAGGACCGCAGCTCTGCAGCTCCGCATTACAGCCCCTGCAAGTCAGAGGAGCCCAGGGGGTTTCTGCCTGTCCCCTAGAGGCCACTGCACCCACACTCACCCAAGAGTGGAGGCAGGGACGCCCCGCTTTGCTGTGAGCTGATTAATGCGTTGTGGGGTGTGGGGCAGGGCAAGCCCATGTGTGTGCCTTGAAGTTATTGACACTGAAGTTTTGGGCCCCCTCCCCTGGGCCAGGAGCATTTTGTAGTCATTTTTTTCTTAAAGCAGAATCCCAATATTGGTACCGACTTTTTTATTCAAGCTCACTAAGTGGAGTTTGGCATCTAATGTTGCATCTTGGGACTTAGGAAGAGCTCTGCCAGTTTGGTTGGTTGGCTGAAACATGGACCAAAAGGTGGCCCACGCTGAGTGACGTGGAACACCTGGTCTCCCTGCTTCCACGGAGAGGAAGGGATTCAAAGGCTTCAGGATGTTCAGGGGAGATTGTTTATTTTCCTTGGTTCTCGTCCCCGCCGCAACCAAAACTGAAGGGCAGAGACACAGTAGGGAGGCAGAGTAAAAGTTTTATTTAAAGGTATGCACTTAAAGAGAGAGAAAGTGTGGGTGTCCTCAGAGATGAGGCGCACCCTGAAAGGTTGAGAAAAAGTTTAAGGTTACCCCCTTATAGCAAAAGCATGGGTGTTCTCACACTGAAAAATTGGGGGTTCTGCCTTTTAAGGATTTTTCAGGAATGTGACAAAGGACTAGGAATGTGGACTTGTAAGTGGTCTCAAGATGCGTATCTTTGATGAGAGACATTGTGTCTCTTCTATTATCAGTCCTCCAGGTAATTCTGCAAAATTATCTCAACCCAAGAAATTTTCTGATCTGGTTCGTCCTCAGGACAGCAGCTTCCATCTGGGAACATATCAAGACTGCCTGCCCTGCCTCCAAGGTGGGCTGAATTACTGTCTGTTTGCTAAAGAATATGTTAAGAATCTTACTTCTTAACTATCTGACTTTTAAAATGCAATCTTAGCTTTAGGATGGAATCTTCCCTATTTTTACTATGCTGTTTATACCTGGGCTTGTTTGGAAAATTAATCATGCTGCTCGTCTCCTGCCCAGGTGGCAAATTATTTGATTGGGAGCTGGAGGAGGAAGAGGAAAAAACAGCATATAGGTTAAGTTAAAGAATATGCTGGGCCTTTTGGCAGGCCAACGTAAATCTTACAATGAATGGCATGATCTACAACGACATGGGCTATGTGCTCGGATACTTTTCTTTATCTGTGGAACATCTGGATGTTCCAAGTTACTCCTGGCCCTCAGAGCTTCAGGTGATTAACTCATTAACAGTTTTTTCTGGGTCCCTAGTTTCATCTGCCTAAGTCTGTGAGCCCCTTTAAGTGGGCTTTACCGGCCTTATTCTCTCTCCACCCTGCCCATATGTATCCTTCTGCCTAACAGGGAGATGGGAATGCTGGAGGGGACTTGTCATTGAGGACCTACTCACCCACCCTGGGTGAACACACTTTGACCACTGCTGTGAGGGAGAAATTTGCTGAGGGGAGCGCTGGCATCCTTAAGAGCTCCCTCACAGCTTCTGTCTGTAGGCCAGACCTCCTGGTGGGACCTGTTGCAGGCTAGGAAACTAAATGCAGTGGCTGTAACTGGATCCCAGAGTGGAGGGGCCCAGTGACAGGCCTCAACTGCCAGAGACAAGGTGGGCGTGGCAGAGCAAAGCTCCCGTCAGAACAGTCATTCCTGAACACCTCGGGCATTGAGCTCACCACAGGGCTCCTAGAAGTCAGAGGGACAGAAGCCTGCTACATTCTTCCTTGGTCTGCGTAAGGAGAAAGGTTCTAGGTCAAGAAATCAAAAGTCCAACTTGAATTACAAAATCAGAGAGCCGTGACCCTCATTCGATTCCCAGACTTGAGCCAATTTACAGACCCAGAACCCCTTAGATGAAGGGGAGGCTGGATCTCTTTGAGGAAGGACCCAGGTACACAGCCAAAACTTTACAGTCCATCATTCTTGCAGCCATCCTCAAAGGGGCCTGTGATCTTTTACCAGATAACTGTGCATGGAGGGAAGGAAATAACCAGAACTTTCGGGCAGTACTGGACACAGGCTCCAAGCTGACACCTTCAGGAGATGCAAACGTCACTGTGCCCTCCAGTCAGAACAGGGGGTGTATGCAGGTCAGGCAGGCAGTGGGGTTTCAGCTCAGACCAACTCACAGCAGGCCCAGTACGTCCCTGAGCCCGTTCTGTGGTTACTTCCCAGCTCTGGAATGTGTAATTAGAATAGACATACTCAGTAGCTGGTGGAGTCCCTAAAAAATCTAGGGAGAGCCTAGAAGGAGGGACTTCTCCTTTTGAGTTGAATCAGTCCAGCTCAGGGTTCTCACTGCTGCCTAGCCATAGGCCTGGACACCCTTCTCACACAGGCTTCCCACTTGGCCAAGGGCTGTCTCTCAGCTCAACTCACCATCCAGTCACCAGGCCAAGAGTGGGCTGTCCACCCATCCTCCCCTGCACCTCACAGCCGCACCCCCTAGGGCCTGTCTGGCAGGGGACTGGATCCTGGGGGCGGGGGTGGGCCGCTGGCCTGCAGAGTGTCACCGGGCATTCCTATGAGCTGAGGCAGGGCTGCCTGGGGGAGGCAGGAGCCGCTCTGTGTCTGC